ATTCATAATATTTTCTTCTATTATACAATAGTGTATCAAATGAATATCATATATGGAAATAAGGATGAAAAGAGTGACATTTTACCTGTAACAAAGCATAGACATCTTGCTAGTTTTATCGAAACAACATGAGGAATGGTTGAAAGAATAAGTCTATTTTACCTCCCACAACTCTTGCTCCTGAGTGAATCACCTCCCTCAACCTTAATACTGGGTATTTCACATCCCCATCTTTAAAAACCAGAGAAAATCATGCCCCTTGGCTTTTTTATAGCGATTTCATCCAACATGCCAGTAAGAGAAAAAATAAGAAAATAATAATAACCCCACATTTTAGTCATGATAATCTCACTCTTTTCTTCTCCTCACCTCTCTCATCTCTCATCCTCTCTCGCCAGCATAGATGTCCAAATGGGCCGCCCGGCGCAGCACGGCCCAGGCACGGCTCGAGATTGGTCGGGTCGGCACGGCTCGCTCAACGGCCATGCCGGGCCGTGACAGCCCACGTTCTCCACTTAAGGCCCAGTCACAACCCAATAAGGGTCGGGGCGGGCCGAGCCAGCCCGTAGGCACGATATCCCATCATGCTTTATTTGAAATAAGTCTATTTTGCCTCCCTCCTCTTTAGGTGACTTATATATCGTTAAAATAAGTCTATTTGCTTCCCTCCTCTTTAGGCCGTGCCTTATATATGGCTGAAATAAGTTTATTTCTATCTATCGGAGGGTGAACTCCTCTAGCGGCGGACCGTGAGGCCCCCCTTTGTTAGTTCGGCCGGGGGCAGCGGGTGAATCCTTGAGGAATCGGAGGGAAATGTTCACTAGAAGGGGTCAAGCCGCCGGTGAAGATGACACAAGGGGATTATACAGGTCTGGGCTGCTGGGAAACGTAACACCCTACTCCTGTATACGATGATTTTGCTGAGCTTTGTAAGTCCCTGAATCCCTAGTGTACAAGCTAGGGCTCAACTAGCCTTGGAACCAGGGATCCAAAAACCCGTCCCCTCTCTCGCTAGGTAAGGTCCTCTTTTTATACTTTAAGGGGATTCCACATGTGATGCGAGAGCTACCTAGGAAAGAGGAAAAATATTCTTTATATTTAATGCATGTCTCGTGCCTTAACCCGGAAGCTACTAGCACATCGGCTGCTATGCGGGGTCCACCGAATCACGCCGACTAACACGGCGGGTGCCTCTATCATTCACCATTTAATGGAGGAGGACTTGGGAGGCATGCATGCACTGGGAATGAAATCCCGGGCACATCCAGAGCGGTCAAGCCGGCCCCGGATTTGGTGGGAGGATTAGAGCCTCTCACCATCACGACGGGACGAGGCATATACCTGCCTCACGCCGCTTGACACACGGTCAGGGCGTGAGTGGCTTGCCGCCATCCCTTCTGTCAATCATTCGGTCACAGACCGGTCGCAGGCAGTGCAGGTGCGTAGCGTGCCACATTAAATGCAGCGTGGTACGCTCGCTCCGCCCGCAATAAATGGGGTTAAGTGGGCGCTGGAGGACGCCCACCCAACCCCACACGCGTGGCAGCCACGTGGTGGCTATAGGGAGGGGTCGGGGCGAGCCGACCCCTCGGGTTCGGACGGGATGGCTGCCACTCATCCACAGGCCCGGCCACCCTCAGGGGGAATGCCACGTGGACGCCGAGGGCGGCCTCTCCCCTCTAAGCTTGGTATCCCCGGGCCCATATCCCAGACAATCCCTCTTCTTTGGTCTGCGTATGGCTAAAATAAGTTTATTTCTCCTCCCTAACTTTCGTGTCGTGTCGGGCTGGCCGACCCTTCCAAGGCAGCGCCGCAGGCACGGCCCAACTATCGGGTCGGGCCATGTCGTGCCAAAGAGCCGTGCCATGGGCCAGGCCGTCCGGCCGTGGGCCATATGGCCATCTATACTCGCTAGACAGAGACAATGGCCAACATTGTCGAGGCGGCGGTGGGAGTTCTGACTCGAGCTCTGTGCGGGGAGGGGCGCCGCCGCCACGGTGGGGCGGGGTGGGGAGAGGGCATGATGCAGAGCCGACGAGTGCATATGCTTCCAAATATAAGGACATGCCACCAAAGCATTATCTTGCTTGTCTCCACTATGCCATCGTCGGGAGGCATCAGAAGATCGGCAGAGACACAATGGGTGATGTGTAGGGGAGAAGCTTGTCGGTAAGCTACACGCGAAAGGAGAAGCTCGTTGGCCATCCGTGCACGCGTGGACGACCTGGCCGGCTGCGACTCGCGCAGGAAGGAGAATGCCGGCCGGCCGCGTGTTGGGAAGGAGTCGTCTGCCACGACGTGCACACGAAATAGCTCACCGACAACTACTCCGCAGCCACCCGCCGGTTCCAACCCTCGGTGCTCCTCCTCCTTTGCCGCTGGTTCCAATCCTATTCCTATCCCACCCCTTCCTCCCCCTCTCCTTTGGCGCTCCTCCACAGGCGCCGCTTGCACCCCTCGCTCCACACTCCACCACCTGAGCCCTCTCCTCTCCCAACGACACTGCCTTCGTCCTGTGTGCTGTCACCTTTACCTACCGTCTGCGAGCTGGCCATTGGCTCCCACATGAGTCAAACATTGTGTGCTGTCACCTTTACCTACCGTCTGCGAGCTGGCCATTGGCTCCCACATGAGTCAAACACCTGCCGCTGCCCTAACGATGTTGGCCGCTGTCACTGCCCAACGCGTACGAGAGAGAACGAGAAAGATTTGAGAGGGGAGAGAGAGGTGAGGAAAAGGAAAAAAGTGAGATTAGGATTTCTGACATATGTGGGGCTGTTAATGTTTTCTCACTAACATGTGGGTCCCATAAGTACCACGTAGGACAAAACCACTTCCGAAACCAGTGAAGAAGTTGATTTGCACCGGTCTTCAAAAATGAAGAAGACGTTACACCCGATTTTATGATTGAGGGAAACAATAATTCAATCATGGAAAAGAGGTAAGGATGGAAAAGAGGTAAGGAAAGTAAAGTAGATTTATTACTGGGAGGTCTATGATTTATCGGTCCTTATAGGTGGCCAAATGGGTCGCTCGGCCCGACTCAAGCATGACCAAATAAGACTCGAGTCGTGCTGGGCCGGCCCGAAGGCACGACAAGTCCATCGTGCTCCTACTTGGAATAAGTCTATTTTGCCTCTCTCATCTCTTTGATCCGTGTATTATATGGCTGGATTCAGGGTTTGCAATTTCGAAATCACGTTTTCTGCCGCAGGGGGGGCGATAGAACCGAAATTTCCGAAATTTCAGAAATATTTTGTACGAAATTTTTTGAATTCAAATTTGAAAATTTCGCCCGAAATTTCCGAAATTTATGGGAAAAAAAATCTGGGACGCTCTGAGAACAATTTTGCAGTCATATAATTCATGATTTCAAAAGAAATAAGTCATCTTGGAAGCATTAGTCTATTATAGTTGCATACACCAATAAATCCATTACAAGTTCATCACATAGCTCAGTGTGTACACCACTGAAGAACAGGACAAGGGCATAATGTCAAATCCAAGAGAGGCGAAGTGGAAAAATGAGACAACGAATCAGTGAGAATAAGGGATGGAGTCGAGCAAATCCGATGTACATACATACCGCTGCTTCAGTGCCTCCTCGCCGTGACGCCGTCGAAAACCCTGTCGCCGAGATGCCAAGTCGCCGGATCGAAGAGGGGAGGCACAACGAGGACTGGAGGGGCGTCGGGGGCTCGGGGCAGGAGGGGCGTCGGGGCGTCGCAGGGTGCAGGATCGCAGCCGCTCGCAACCAGGAGGGGTGCCGGAGCCACGGCTGCTGCCACCGCCTGCAAGATGAGCGGCGCCGCCACCGGCTGCAGGACGAGCGGCGTCGCAGGCTATCAGCCAGGAAGGGCGCCGGAGCCGCCGGAGCAGCCTGCTGGATGAGCGCCGTCGTGAACTGGAGGTAGCGGCGCAGGGGGATTTGGCGCCGAAGGACGAAAAAATCGCCTCTCAGCGGCGCGGTGGGGGGAAAATGGGTTAGGGTTAGGGTTGGGGGGAGGAGTGCGGGCCTTTTTGCTTTTTTTAAAAAAAAAATTTGTCCGAAATTTTTGTCCGTCATGTACTTTTACCGGACCCCAGCGGCAAAACCGAAATTTCGGAAATTTCGAACCGAAATTTCAAACACTGGCTGGAATAAGTCTATTTTACTTCCCTCATCTCTTTGAGCAATGCTTTATATGATTGGTATAAGTCTATTTTGGTTCCCTCGTCTATTTGCCTCCCTAATCATTAGACGGGGCCAGCCCATCGTGCCGAGCAAGAGGCTCAGCCACAATCCAAAGATCGTGCCGGGCCAGCACGGGTCGACACCAGTCGACTGTGCCGTGGACCGCACCGTCGGGCCGCCGGCCTTTGGGCCTACTATATCGGGCCTCAACTTAGGGCTGTCAACAAGCCGAGCTCGAGCAAGCTTAGATCCTCAGGCTCGAGCTCGATATGAACTCGAGTCGAGCTCGAGCCGAGCCTGGACTAACCTTCGAGCTTGCAGTCAAGCTCGGGCTCGGCTCGGACGAGCCTCGAGCCTAATCGAGCTCGTATCAACGCAACACAAGCATGTGTACATATTTCAAAAAGTAGAGAAACTGACAGAAAGCTGCAGCTGGGCATGTTGTGTAGAGATACGGCCATACGGGAGCACTAGTGTACTGTACTACTAGTACTAGCACAGGAGTAGTCTGCTTTGCTTTGGGAGTAGTGTTCAAGAATTGATTGCTTCTGTACTTCACATAGACCAATGTTGGAGTAGTAGCAGACCAAGGAAAAGCAACGATGATTTTTTATTGGAGACCAAGGTAAAGCATGAGACATGACAGTTACTAACTAGTACTCGAGTCTTTACCGAGCTATTCGAGCTCGGCTCGTTAAAGTGCACGAGCCTCATTTCAAGCTCGAGCTCGGTTCGTTTTAGGCTCAAACCGAGCTTGAGCCGAGCCTATAACGAGTCGAGTTCGAGTAGCTTGCGAGTCTCGAGCTTTTTTTGACAGCCCTACCTCAACCTCAATACCATTGACAGCACACCGCTCTCTAGACCCTACTAGTGACCTAGTCGATGCGATCCTCCATCGGTTCCCTTCTCGTCTGGTGAGTCCGCCTGGCCGCCGTCTGCGCCGAGCGGCTCCGCCGTCGTTCCTGCAGCTTCCGCCGCATCCTCGCCGGTGAGTACCCGCACGCACATCCTCAACCGTAGCTTCTCTTGTAGATCCGAAAGCTCCCCTCTTTCCCTTCAATCTTAGTACTAACAGCAGCTTGTTTGTTTCAAACAAATTTGGGGGTTTCAGCAGCTGAACCCCTCCCATCCCATGCCCTACGCTATGTCCGCCCCTGATATTGCGAGGATGCCGCTGGTTCTGTTTAGGCAGGGGACAACGGATTCCCGTGATACCTATGTTGTTGGATTGGAGTTTCCTGCATCTAATCGGACTCAGAGTTTGATGGCGCGTCCTCGTTTGGTTTTCTATATAACTCGTTCCAGGGGGAGCCTGCCCTCTCTATCAAACCTCCAAGATTGCAGCTTTCGCGGTGGTCCTGCACAAGCAGTTCATCTTCCAAGAGATTGCACCTCTGCCAGTATTCCTGCACAAGCGATTGATCTGCTACGAGACGCTCTGCTCCAGATGGAGATGTGCAGCAGAGAGGAGATTATGGATCTGTGCCGTCAGGCTATACACCAAAACATGTGCTATGTAGTTCCCAGAGTTTTGCCTCAGCAGCTATGCCTTCCTCCACCTTCACCAAAGGATGAACTTCATTCGACGCTGACAAAAACTTCGACTCGCAAATTTTCAGACCTGCCACATGATATCCTGATGGATATCATTGCCATGTTGGAGATCCCTGATGCCCTGCGTGCGGCTTCCGTCTGCTCCTCGTAGTGCTCCGTGCATACCAAACTGCACAACCTTGGAAAGTACAAACGACCTCAGACGCCGTGTTTCCTCTACACCTCTCAATCTATTGGTGAAAACATCGCTTGCCTCTACAGCCTTGCAGAGAAGAGGACCTACAAGTTAACTCTGCCTGAGCCACCCATCAGTAGGAGGTATCTGCTTGGGTCTTCAGATGGCTGGCTGGTTACCGCTGATGAGAGGTCTGAGATGCACATTCTTAATCCGATCACCGGTGAACAGATCGCTCTTCCGTCTGTGATAACCATCAACCAGGTGACGCCCATTTTCAACCACAAAGGCGTGCTCTGCAAATATCGTTACTCACGGCACACAGCGGAGGGTGTTACCGACTCACCCATGACGCTTCCTCTTGACAAACTGCGGTACTTCTTCCATTGCAAGGCCTTTGTATTTTATGATAAATCTGTAAAAAGCTATATTGTGGTGCTCATCCATAACCCATGTGAGCAGCTCTCATTTGCTAGATTAGGATATGACAAGTGGACATGGCTGCCACCACACTTGAGATTTCAGGATTGCACCTACAAGGATGGCCTATTGTATGCAGTGACGTCATTGGGGGAAATTTTCGCGTTTGATCTCAACACCACTGTGATCACAGCAAAGATAATCATGGACAGGACAAAGGAGTATTCGCGTGAGAGAATTTATATTGTTCAGGCTCCATGGGGTGATCTGTTGCAAGTTTGGAGACCACCACAAGGAGATGGGCGTGGGTATGATGAAATTACTGGCCGTTCAGCTCTTGTGAGCAACACTGGGAGGACAAAATTATATAGAGTTGATACTCTGGCTAAAGAGCTAGTGGAAATAAGTGACCTGGGTGACCATGTATTGTTTATGGGGAATAACCAAACTTATTGTCTTTGTGCAAAGGAATACCCACTGTTGAAGGCAAACCATATATATTTTACAGATGATTCTGAGTGCTTGGCACTCAGAACCCTGTGGGGTTTCCGTCTTGATATTGGACTCCTTAACTTGAGAGATAAGAGTGTGGAGGAAATTGTATCCCCTCGGCTTTGGTTGAAGTGTCGCGCTCCTGTGTTGCTTGTACCGAATCCTCGGAAGATGAATTCCACTTGTCACAATTAGACACAACATCCGGGAACCTCCTTTTCTTGGGAATTTTAATGTTGCCAGGCAAGATAGTATTGATACATTGTAATAAGAAATAGGAATGTTCTTATATGCCCTGTTGCATTGTTAAATATGTTGTAGCCTGTTTTATTCTGTGACATTTGTAAGGTTATTCTTTCCTTAATCTTAATTAATTGTAACTGATTCTAGTTAGTAGAGCCGTTTTAATTCCCCAGCATGAACATGGCAAGGTTTTCAGCCAACTCAATTTTTTTGATGTCGATGTAGGTGAGAGAGAGTAGAAAGAGAGGGCAGAGAAGGGGAGAGAGAGAGAGCTGCTTTTTGATGGTCCCCACACAAAATTAGCCTCATTAGCACCCCTTAGAGGGGCTAATGTTTTGTGGGGAGCTAATTCATATTAGCTCAAAATTAGCCCACCTGTTTGGATCCTTGAGGGCTAATTTGAGGCTAAAAGGTGAGGGCTAAACATTAGCCCATGGAACCAAACAGGACCTTAGTGGACACCAATGTGTTTGGCCTGATGTTGAATAAATATCTTGGTGAGAAGTCGGCCATGGGCTGGATGGATGCTAGAACAATCCTCGACACACCCATCATGGTCTGGAAAGCGACCACATCTTGGTCTGTGCCACCATCGACGTCAAGGCCGACTTTCGAACGCTTGACATGCGTCACCTTGGAATAGTCATAGGTGTCGATGTAGGTGACTCCTGTTGTGTCCTCAACAGATACTACCTCCATAGATGCAGTGGCAGTGGTGGCGCACGCTACCACCGCAGTCATGGTAAGATCGGGCTCGGTGTCGGGGCTGGAGCATTTCATCGAACACATGGTAGACGTGACCTCGGGAAAATTCTTGGTGACGATGTAGGAGTCGTGAACCTTGTCCTCGCCATCCCCAAGCTCTAGGTAGACCATCGGAGCAGTCTCCTCGTCGATGTGGCTTGAGCTCACCATCACCCGAGGGTTGGCGTTATTGGGGCATTTCGTCAAATAGGTGGTGGGTGTTGGAGAAGGTGGCGCCTGGGAAGGAGGAGATGATGCCGCCCTAAAGACAGGACTGCTCGCCTTGAGGCTGGTGGTGATCTCCTTCATGATGTCCAATCTCCACTGCATGAACTCCCTTTCTCTTTTCCCCCATCTCAAATTTCCCTAGTAACCTATCTAGGTACCAATCCATGGATTTCTTTTGATTGTTCATGATGGACTCAAGTGGGGATTGATGGCTCTGATACCAGATTGTTAGGAACCCATTTCTTCCAATTCAATAGCAATGATGCACCATACAAGCAACAATTTAAGAGAAAAGAGAGGAAGAAACCATGAAATACAAGTTCTAGAAGCTTCTAGAACTAGGAGAGAAAGTTGGAGGCAGTGGCGTATGTAGGATTTGAAGTATGGGTGGTCCGATTTTAAAAAAATCTTTTAAACATCACTGTAACAATATCAATATACATAGTACAAGTATAAATAATATAATTATCTAAAAGTTTAATATGATATATTGATAAGCCATCTTAGAAACAACTTATAATTAGCAATTAAATAAATAAATAAATAAAAACATAAACAAGCTTATACCGTGACAGAACTCTGAGATGAGAGGAGTCAATACTGAAAATTAAAAAGAATAAATCATCTACAAGACCTATAGCTAATTGGCTAATCACTAAACACCTGCTCTTCCTTGCAGCTTGTCTGGCTGCCCACATGCAGCCACAACGCCTGCCGCCGTTCGCCGCACTTGCACTCCGGCGCCGGATGTAACACCCCTCCGAGCGGCCCTTGTTGTTTGCCTTCACGTCGCCACTCGATTGCCGGAGGTCAGATGCTAGGAAGGGAATGAGCAGAGGAGATAGTGTTAGACCCTTATCTGACGTCAACCAGGAAGATGTTGGTGAGAAGACTGAAGCTGCTGAGGAGGAGGCGCCAACAGAGCTGAGTGCTGAAGCTGAGCAAGAAGCAGAGCAAAGAGGAGAGGAGGACTTCAAGCTCAAGAAGCATTGCTCATCAAGGCCTGTCAAACCCAACCCTATGTATCATGGGCCACAGTGGGCCGTGTAAGTCTGTCCGTGGTAACAGCTGGTTGACAGCTGGCGTGTGTGGCGTGTAGAGGCGAGGCGATGAGCCACATATAAGAACTCGTGATGAACTAGGATGAACTCGGTTTTTGGCAACCTGGTGGCGAAGGAGGCGGCATTGCCATATCTCTTGATTCTGTCTCTCTTTGCTCGGTGAGTGATTTTAGTTGCATTAGACCCTAATAGATAGGAGCAAGAAGCCAGCGCTACAATGGTCGGCCACCGGACAGTCTTCAATTTCCTTTTTCCTTTTTTCTTTACCATATCTATTTAATTGGGCCTTGGGCTCGAGAATTTTTGGGTGGTCCGGGGAACACCCGGACCACCCTCTCAATCCGCCGGTGGTTGGAGGTAGGAGGAGAGGAAGAGAAGAGGGATCGCCAAGGTTCCAGCTCGGAACCAGGACGCCGTCGCCACCACTGCCGTTCTGGTCATCTGCTCGATGGATGCCCATAGTTGCTGTTGTTGCTCATATAAATACTACTCCATATTAGTTGTGCTTGCTTGGGCTTCGGTTGGAATGTGGCTAACTCAGCCTAACTGTGCTCCTGGCAAGCTATTGTGCGATCAATCGCGTGTGGCGCGATCTGTTCAGTGCTTTCTTCCATCCAGGAGAATTTTTGTCAGATTGTCTTGTTTTTATTTTTATATGTAGGTATGTCCTGTCAACATGGCTTCATGGCTTAGCTCGTTTCACAATTTCTGTTGGTTTTTTAGGCTCATAGCCCATAAGACCATATGTATACTTTTTCTCAATTATTTCCAAAATTTGTTACATGTAAAAAAATTATAATAAAAAGTTTTTATATACATATCTACAAAATATCTATGTAGAAAAGCTCTTACGCATAGATATATTTTTTGTTCATGCTAACAGGATTATGAGTTCATTTCAAAGCTATACATCTAATTTAAATATACAAAGTTTTTCTACACAAAGTTTATATGTACAAAGTTTACATGTAAGAAGTTTACCTACGAAATATTTGCACGTATAAAGTTTATATACTATGTATAAAAAATAAAAAATTCATATACCAAATATTTCTAGCATATGGACCGAAAGACTAGCAATACTTCGGAAAGAGCTATGCATCGGATGTCTGGAGATTTGCAAATAGGACGATGTTTCACTGTATGTTGAATGAATGTTGCAATGTTCCATCGCTCGAAAAAAAATATTTTAACGTGAAATCTCCGAACGATGTTTCACTGTATGTTGAATGAATATTGCAATGTTTCATTGCTCGAAAAAAATATTTCAATATGAATTGTTTCTTGATGTTTCAGTTTTCATTGAAGAATGTTTTACCACTTTATCGAAGATGTTTCAATCAAATGCAACACTCAAGAACATTGTCTGCAACAACAAAAACCCAATATATGCAACATCCGGTACTGATTTAAGAAACATTCCGAAAAGACGGATTGCAATATCACAAACATAATATGTGCAAAAAAAAAAACATGTGGTGTGCAACAATCCTCTCTAACTAGTTTGACGTTGCCACAAGCCTCCTCACCTTCGCTGCCGAGCTCAGAGCCCTCTCAGATGATGGCGTCTCAAGCTTTTTCGTCTTACTGCCCTATTGCCGCCAATGTGGTTGCCCGTGCTCACTGCATCCCGCCGCCTAAACTGCTGCACTGGCTGCTGCACAAACGCATGGTAGTCCTCGTCGGCGACGAGCACCACCCCATGCTTCCTCCCTCTCTTTCGTCCGTACACCACCACCATGCCAGGGGAGAAGGTGAAGAACAACGGCGTGCGGCCGTTGCCGTCGACGCGGCCCGATGCCTCCATTGCCAGTGCCGCTCGGAACACGGGCCACCGTGCCCCGAGGAACTCCTCCTACCCCGGCGACGCCCAAAATAACACCTCCAGTGACTCGTGGGGCGTGGATGAATAGCCGGAATCCAGCTACCCGCGACGGCAGCGCCACCGTAGACGGCGGCGCTGCCGCCACCGCCACCTGATGACGCCACAGCCACGCGTGCAGCATGGGGACGCCGGAATGAGGATAAGGTTGGGGACGAGGAGGAATGAGGATAAGTTTCAACTGGGTCCTATCTTATAGGACCTTATGTAGTTTCGTCTTGTATCGGATGTACGATAATAAGAGTTTTCGCAATACATCTCATAAGAAAAATGGCTAGCAATACATGGACCTAAAGGGCAGCCAATAATATATGTAGCCCACGAGACAAGAATTGGGTTGACGCAGAAAAAAAAAAGTTCGCACGGGATGGAACTAGTCATCGTTCCGGAAAAAAAAAAGAGTGTACCATTGAAGCCGATATGGGTGCATTGAAGCCAATATGGGTGCGATGCTATCGCGTGCCGAGATCGCCATTTCGCGACAGTAGCATGGGTGCCTCGCGCGACTGGACACTTGTCGCGCGCAGAGAGGAGGGTGGCGCAAAACGCGTTTTTTTTTTCTACTGTTTCTTCATACAGTTTCTTTTTTTTTTGTTTTTTTCGTCCATATCTTTTGGTTTCTTATTTTTTTCTTTTGTATCTTTTTAGTTTTTTTCGGTTTTTTAATAAGTATGTATGTGTGTATACGTACACATACAAACTTTTTATACACATAAATAAACTTTGTATACACGTATATACAAAAGTTGTATACATGTACTTTTAGGGGTTTTTATACATATGTATACAAACTTTGTATAAACGTATACAAAGTTTATATTACGTGTATTTTTTTTGGGTTTTTTCTACGTACGCTCACATACTTTATAGACGTATATATATTTTTTATAAATTAAAAGTGTATACATAAAAAATTATATATATCTACACACGTACATATATACTACATATACATACGTATAAACTTTATATACACATATACAAAGTTTATACATACGTATATATCTATAACTAATATAAATATTCGTATTTTTCCAATCATCACACCGATTTTTCGTCCCTTCGTAACCTCATGCGCACCTCCTCTCCAAATCCCACATCCAATCCAACCCAAAAACAAAATATCAATCTCAATCCAAATACAAATCGGAATCATCATAAAATCCTAGAGAAAATACTACTACAAGATCACAAGAACATATTTCATCAACAACAACGACAACACAAGAACATCACAAGCACAAAAACACCGACGCCGGAAGGGGAGGGTGCCACCGTCGCCGCAGGGATGCCGGGCCACCGCTACCTCTCCTCCTGCTGGATCCGGCGGAGGGGAGGGCACCGTCCCTGCCTGCCACCGTGGGAGGGGGAGGGGTAACGACGCCGCCGCCAGTGGGGGAGGGGGAGCCTCCCTTCCCGCTGGATCCGGCGGAGGGGAGGACGCTGCATCCGCCTGCCATCGTGGGAGGGGGAGTGGGAACGGCGCTGCCGCCGGTGGGGGAAGGGGAGCGGCGCCGCCACAGCAGAGACGCCGCGCCGCCGCTGCCTGCCCTCCCGCTAGATCCTGCGGAGGGGAGGGCGCCGCCCCTGCCCGCCGCCTCCCCTCCTGCCGCTGGCCGCAGCCAGCCACCGTGGGTGGGGGAGGGGGAACGGCGCCACCGTGGCGGAGGGGAGAGGCGACGGCGTCACCGTGGGAGGGGGAGGGGGAGCGGCGCCGCCACGGCGGAGGGAGAGAGGCGACGGCGTCGTTTTGAGAGAGAGGGGAGAAAAAATGATTTTAGGGTTAGGGTTTAGCTACTGAACTTTTATATAGGTTTGGAACAATCTGGAGCATTGATCAGATCGGACGGCTGTGGCTGCTCCCGCGTCGGGCCGCGATTCCCAGGCCGCCACACAATTGGGTCGTCTCATGGGCCGCATGTATGCTCCGAACGGAATAAGTTAAGTTTAGGTCCCTTAAGGCTGTTATTTCTTTTTAAGAGCAAGGTTAATAATACAGCCGACTTGTTGGCTATAAGGTTCTTTATAGCCTTCTCTCAGCCTACCCATATAATAGTTAGCTCTTTACAATTAATATAGGGTCCACTTGTCTCTTTCACAGAGTTTCTTGGTTCTTGTGTCCGAGCCGGCTGTAAGTTTACAGCCCGCTTCTCCTCTCTCCTCTCTTCTCTCCTCCACATCAGCATTTAGCCGGCTTATAGCCTACTATTATACTTGCTCTAAGACTACTAAACGGTGCATTTTTCGCAAGAATCATCTATACGAAAGTTGTTTTAGAAAACATATTAATCTATTTTTTACTAATACTTAATTAATTATAGATTAATAAACTACCATGTTTTCCGTGATAATACTCTCTAAGAAAACGAAAATGGCTAATCTCTATCTCTACTTATACTTCAAAAATTTGAAAATGTTTCCATCGTCCGTCTAAAATAAAAAAAGAGCGAAAAAGGTCCGATTGTATGTAAAAAGAAAAAAGTCTGATTTCTATCCGATTTCATCGTTTATATGTTATCTACCTCTAATCTAATCTAATCTAATCTAACATTCTATATACCTATACCTAATCTTCCGGTGAAATTTTCATCCGTTCTCACCTATTTTTGTCCGCAACATCCCGGGTCCAACACACAACAAATCATACAGAGTCCGCATCAAATAGCACTTCACCTTCGGTTACCCAGAAGAGAATGAACGAGAAATTTTAATTCGCGGGCTGAAGAATAAATGCTGAAACTATCTTTGTATTATTAAAATTTGCAATTAAGCTCTGAAAACTTCAATAAAATTCCAAAGAGTGTAATTATAATTTAATTATACACCTACCAACTTAAAAAAATATCCAAATTTTTAAGAAAATTTGTATTTTAATTAATTAATTACATAATGTAATTTTTTTTAACTTTTCCTTAATTTTCTTGTCTTTACATTTCCCGTTGCAACGCACGGGCACTCTACTAAACACACACAAACATATTGGGACCTTTTGTCTAACCGTGGAGAGTTGAATTCATCATGCTAGGATTCGGTACGAGAAACACAGGAGCTCGACACTTGAGGAAAAGCCGAGGTGCTACAATTTCATCGATGCTCTTATCTTCCAGGTTAAGGACTCCAATATCAAGGCGGAGACCCCACATGCTCTTGGAGGACAAGCACTCGAAATCATCTGTAAAATACACATGATTTGCCTTCAGCTGTGGGTACTCACAAACACCAAGACAAGATGACTGGTTATTCCCAATAAACAACACATGGTCATCCAAGCTAAATATTTGCACCAGCTTTTTAGCCACAGTGTCAACTCTAAATATTCTTGTGTTCTGAGTGTTGCTCACAAGAGCTGGAAAGCCAGTGATTTCATCAACCCAATTACCATTCCCCTCCTGTGGTTTCCAAACTTGCAGCAGATCACCACATGGAGCATGAACAATATAAATTCTCTCACACGCATACTCCTTTGTCCTGCCCATAATTACCTTTGCTGTGATCACAGTGGCGTCGAGATCAAACGAGAAGATTTCCCCAAATGACGTCACTGCATACAGTAGGCCATCCTTGTAGGCGCAGTCATGAATTCCCAAGTGTGGTGGCAGCCATGTCCACTTGTCATGTTCTAATCTAGCAAATGAGATCTGTTTATGTGGATCATGAATGAGCACCACAATATAGCTTCGTACGAATTTATCGTAGAATACAAAGGCCTTGCAATGGAAGAAGTACCGTAGTTTGTCAAGAGGAAGCGTCATGGGTGACTCAGTAACACCCTCCGCTGTGTGCCGTGAGTAACGATATTTGCAGAGCTCGCCTTTGCGGTTGAAAATGGGCGTCACCTGGTTGATGGTTATCACTGACGGAAGAGCGATCTGTTCACCGGTGATCGTATTAAGAATGTGCATCTCAGACCTCTCATCAGCGGTAACCAGCCAGCCATCTGAAGACCCAAGCAGATACCTCCTACTGATGGGTGGCTCGGGCAGAGTTAACTTGTAGGTCCTCTTCTCTGCAAGGCTGTAGAGGCAAGCGATGTTTTCACCAATAGATTGAGAAGTGTAGAGGAAACACGGCGTCTGAGGTCGTTTGTACTTTCCAAGGTTGTGCAGTTTGATATGCACGGAGCGCCACGAGGAGCAGACTGAAGCCGCACGCAGGGCATCAGGGATCTCCAACATGGCAATGATATCCATCAGGATATCATGTGGCAGGTCTGAAAATTCGCGAGCCGTAGTTTCGGTCAGTATCGTCCGAAGTTCCTCCTTTGTTGAACAGGGAGGAAGGCATAGCTGCTTAGGCAAAACTTGGGGAATTACACAGCACATGTTTTGGGGGCACAAATCCATAATCTCCTCTCTGCTGCACATCTCCATCTGGAGCAGAGCGTCTCTTAGCAGATCAATCGCTTGTGCAGGAACACTGGCAGAGGTGCAACCTCTTGGAAGATGAACTGCTCGTGCAGGAACACCGCGAAAGCTGCACAATCTTGGAGGTCGGGATCGGGCAGGCTCCTCCTGGAACGACTTATACAGAGAACCAAACGAGGACGCGCCATAAAACTCCGAGTTCGATTAGATGCAGGAATTGGAAACCCCAATCCAAGAACAAGATAAGCATCACCGGAATCCGTTGTCCCATGCCTAAAGAGAGCCATATCCATCCTCGCAGGACACAGCGTAGGGCAGCTGAAACCCACCCCCCAAAATTCGTTGAAACAAACAAACGCACGCTGCTGTTAGTACTACGATTGAAGGGAAAAGAGGGGAGCTTTTGGATCTACAAGAGAAGATGTTCGTGCTGGGTACTCACCGGCGAGGATGCGGCGGAAGCAGCAGGACGGCGGCGCCGTTCGGCGAAGACGGCGGACTCACGAGGAGGAGAAGGGGGACGGTGGATATAGGTGTCCAAACGGGCGGCACGGCCCGGCCCGGCACGGGCACGGTTCCGGCACGGCCCATTTCGGCACGGCCCGTTAGGCACGGCTGATGAAACGGGCCGTGCCGTGCCGGCCCACGTGCCGAGCCGCAGGCCCAAGCACGGCCCGTGGATGGCCGGGCCGTGCCCGTGCCGGCACGGCACGCCCGCGGCCCACGGGCCGTTCGGGGCACGGCGGCCCGTGAAGGCAGGCCGCCAGCCCGCCAGCCTGCAGTGCACAGTGTTTTTTTTTAAAAAAAAAGCAAAGTAAATGTATAAGGAAAAAAAAATTAAAAATGGAAATAAAATGTTTAAAAAAAAGTAATGATTTACTAATGTTAAAAAATGAAAAAATGGTATTTAAAAAATGGAAATAAAAGTTTTTTAAAAAAGTAATGATTTGCTAATGTTAAAAAAAAGAAAAAATGGTATTTTTTTGTTGTGTTGAAAAATTTAAAAATATAGATTGTGATTCATTATTTTGAAATAATTTAAAGATAAATCCACACTTGCGAAAATATTGCAAAAGAATTTGTTAAAAATAGTAATGACCTTTATTGATGTTTATATCATTACAGGATACAATGATACATGCTGCCTCGTTAAAAACTTTGTCATGTAAAAACTCATAGGGGAAAATGAGAAAACCATGACAAAGAAAAGAGTACAGCTCAAAGGTCAGAACTACTTCTAACAAAATTCTACTGGGGTTGGTCTGGATCCAGGTAGAGTTGCTCGAACTGGGCGGCCAATTCTTGGTTGTCCGCAGTGTATTGGGCATGTTGTTGAGCAAGCTCCCAGTCTTTAACGCATTGTAGCATTTCGACGTGGTCGCTGCGCAGAGTCGTCCTCCGGTCTCCGATTCGGAGGACACCGTCGACACGGGCACCGTCAACACATCCCGTGCTAGTTTTGAAAGCACAGGATATGTTATCTTGTGGTCATTCCACCACCCGAGGACGTTGAAATCTTGTGCTTCGTGGTGGATGGCGTCGCTGTCCAAATAACCGGACAACTCTTCGGCCACAACATGCGAAGAGGCGTCTCCACTTGTAGCCGACGAACTGCCACCACCTTGGATTGAACTTGAAGACGATCCACCCCAAATCCTACCCCACTGTATCTTCTTCTTACCTGTAGTGGGGATAGGAGGGGGTCTCTGCTGGCGAACTTCCTGAAACTTTACTTCATATCTTCCAAAAACCTCATATAATTTACGTCTAACCTCAGTATAAAAAGAACTATAATCTACACCTATAGTATCTCCAACAAGTGATAAAATAGCAGACAATCCCCTTAATTTACACCTAGGATCTAAAACAAAAGCAAGAGCATACAACATAGGTATATTTTTCCAATATTTCAAATATTTTTGTTTCATGTGAAAGACAGGTTCAGTTAGAACGTCATCATTTTCGTATTCTTTAAATAAAGTAGCAATTTCAAGAAGGTTGTGCAAAATTATATTAGCAGTTGGATAATAAACTTGTGACAAAGTTAGAGTACAATCATAAAAAGTTTCTAGAAATTGGTAAAATTTTTGGACAATTGCCCAAACATGCTCGTTCAGTACTGAAGACCCGTCACTGTTTCTTGGGCCACCACGTGACTGAACAAAATCAGAAAGTAAACTACTATAAGGTAAAACAACTTTTAACATTAAATACGTTGCATTCCACCGATGCTCTGCATCGGTGGCAAACTTACGAGCTTTCACACCGGCCGCATTGCAAAACCTCTTCCATGCAGCAATCCGCGGGTTAGAAGCAGTTAACCACGCGATTGCTTGACGAACAGCATCGATGTGGTCACCTACCCTCTTCATGCCAGTCTTAACAATCAAATTAATTATATGACATGCACAACGCTGATGGAGTAGAAAAGATTGAGCATACACACAAAATAAAGGTTGCAATATTTCAATAGCCCTAGAATTAGCAGATGCATTATCTAGGGTGACAGCAAATATTTTATCAGCAAGATTAAATTCATTAATTACTTCCCTAATTCTTTCAGCTATGTTTTCTCCTGTATGTGAGACATCTATTAACCTAAGCCCTAAAACTCTCTTTTGTAATTGCCAATCATCATCAACAAAATGAACAACTACGCTAAGATAATCCTCTCTAGCTCTACTACTCCATATATCTGAAGTAACACTAACAGAGAAAGTACATGTACTAAACAGTTCCTTAAGTGCAGTTGCTTCCTTGTGATAAACATTCTCTAAATCTCTAGTTGATGTTTGCCTACTCACAGCTTTAAACCTAGGGTTATGAGATTGCTGAATGTAATGTTCAAAAGCAGGGGACTCCCCAAAGTTCAGGGGTAAATCTTGCCTGGCGATTAACCGGACAAGAGATTCCCGAGCAACCATGGGATCGTACTCCCAACTGTGTACCGTACCGTCTGGGTTTACCATAAGTTGCTGCTGCCGGAGTTGTATTCCTTGCTTCTTGGCACACGACTCCGCATGGCGCTTGAGGTGACCTGTACCACCAGAAGAACGAGCAGATAAAATTTGCCTACATATTCTACAACGGGCTTTCGATACCTCCCTTCCGTCGGGGCATGTTTCCTTTATCTCGTCGAAGCTTTGCCACACACCGGAGGTTCTCGATCTCTTCGAGCCGGTGTGTGTCGAAACACTTCCGCTCGCGGTTCCGGAAAATCCTTCCGAAGCTGTCTCCGCCTGAACCGGTACCTCCTCAACGACAGCCGTATGAACCGGTACCTCCTCCACAGATGGTGGAGTTGGAGCCGATCCGGAGGTACCGTCAAACCCCGACATGTAGTTGGGGTCGAAATCACCCAAGGTGAACGACGGCGACTGGTATGGAAAGTTCGGATCCATTCTGAAAATTTAAACCGACATAAACAAATTTTCGAATATTTATTGAATTCACAAACACAATACAAATAATACACAAATTTGAATATTACTTACATCTTTCCAACCGCGAGCTCTTCAAACCTCTGCGATCAAACTGTTGAACTACGAAACTAATTTTGATTTTTGACAAAATTTGAGCAAATTTTGTCAAAATAAAAAAAAATGCACACTTGAGAACAAAGAGAGCACTTAAAACACTTGAGAACACAAGATGAGGAGTGTGGGATGAGGAGAAATGGCTGGGGTTCATGCCCTATTTATAGGGCGAAATTTGAGATTTTTTGAAATTTTTTCGAAATTTTTATGAATTTTTTAGCCTCCCAACGGTTATTTTCAAATTTGAACGGTCAAATAGCCGTTAGTGCCACGTGGCGCCTTCCCATTCGACCGCCGCCCGCCCTGTCCGCGCCTGACGGGCCGCCGGCGTGCCGTGCCGTGCCGTGCCGCGGGCCGTGCCGTGCCGGCCCGCTACAGTAGCCGTGCCGTGCCGTGCCGGCCCGCGGGCTCGGCCAGCGGCCCAAGCACGGCACGGCTACTCGTGCCGTGCCGGCACGGCCCGTTACTGTAGCAGGCCGTGCCGGGCCGTGCCTGCTACAGGTTCGGCCGTGCCCCGGGCCGCCCATTTGGCCCGGCCCATTTGGCCACCTCTAGCGGTGGAGGATCGGATCGACTAGGGTGTACGGAGTGATGGGCTGTTAACGGTATTGGGCTTTCTATCGTCCAATTCGGAGAGGCCCGCCAGAGTTTAGAGACTGTCGCAATCGACCTCCCCATTGAATTTTATTATTTTTACATTTTCTTATTAAAATATTTAAAAAATATTTTTTCGAAAATTTACAATTCTAGTCGTCTCTGGCCTTCTGGGAAAAATCGCCCTTCCAGAGAGCGATAAGGGACCTAAATGCAAATTTTTCAACACAGCTTATTAGCTCTATAATTTTACAATTTAAAATTATATTATATAAAGTCATATGAAATAAAACTTTATATCAAAATTGTAGAGATCGAGGAGATCTACAACTTTGTAGTTAACAATGTTTTCATTTAAGATCTTTTAGATATCCATATATTCGTTACACAATATAAAACTATTTTAAAAATCTCAGATATACATTTCAAACGACATCGGATGGAGATAAATTTTATATAAAAATTGTACATCTTGATGAGATCTACAACTTTGTTGTTTATCACTTTTCCATTTAAAATTATTTGGAGTGTCGAATAAGCATTATTAGTTTTTAAACGATTAACACCGGTGGAAAGGGTTTGAACACAAATAAAAAATTTATATTTAGGTCCCTTATCAGGAAGGGCGATTTTTAAAAAACGCCCTCCCAAAGAGCGAGAGGCCACTAGAATTGTAAATTTTCAAAACAAATTTTTTAAAAAATATTTTAATAAAAAGATGTAAAAATAAGAAATTCCCCATTGCGCCCTCTTTTTTTTCTACGGAATAAGTGCATTTGACTTTCTGTTCAATCTGATTCCAACCCCTTAAATATAAGTTTAATAATATAACCAACCACTAGTTCTTAAAAATTAAAACATCATCAATAACCAACCTAATAGCCTGCTCATATAATAGTTATAATAGTTAGTTATAGATATATAATGCATAATTAATACCCCCTCCGTTTCACAATGTAAGTTATTCTAGCATTTTCCACATTCATACTAATGTTAATGAATCTAGACATATATATTTATCTAGATTCATTAATATCAATATGAATATGGAAAATGCTAGAATGACTTACATTGTGAAACGGAGGAAGTATTAAATCTACCTATCTCACATAGTATGTTGAAACCCATGCTGCAGCCGGCTACTAATAATCTATTATGTACTCCGCTTCTTTTCTCTCTAATCTTCTCTCTTATCCACATAAGCATAAATATGATGTGGCAGCCTGTATAGCCTACTTACATCATCTTATTATACTCGCTCTTAGCAATACTAGATATTTTAACCCCTCAACTATGAAAACCGATGCAAAATTACTCCTTTAGGCTGTGATCTTTTGGAGGGGTTAGGAACCCTTCCTCTCCACAT